TAGATTTTGATGTCTGGCTTAGTTTTCCTGCCCAGCCTACCTCCCCAACATCGCATACCACTTCCCCTTCCTGAAGGGATAGATGGGGCTCTCGGTAGGTGCTCTCTGCAAGCAGAGGGGACTTCTTTTAAAGATTTTTTTTTTTTTTTAATCAGTGTTGACCAGGTTGGCCTTGAACGTGTAGCCTCGCCTCCCCGCGTGCCAGGGCAACCGGCCTGAGCCAGCGCGGCTCCCAGCAGAGGGGACTTCTGACCGAGCCGAACATCCCGTGCAAGCTCCGGACTCCAGGGTTCTGCTCTTTCTGCGCCTACCTCGCATTCTGCCCAAGCCTGTGAACCAAATACAAGCCCTGGCCTGCCTTGCCTTGCATGACCGTTGGACACGCACTCTGACAGCTCTTTCTCCAACTCCCACTGCCATAGCAGCTACTTGGGCAGTTCTCAATTGATAAGCAGTGGGCTTAGTGAGTAAAGGATGGTATTTGGAGTCAGACCGAGCTGGGTTAAAATTCTGACACTGCCTTTGGGCAAATTACCTAATATGGGGTAATAATGCACACTTCACACGGTTGTTGTAAATTAGTGTCTGAGAGTCTCTGGCAGAGTTGGAGGTTAAACTTTCTTTCCTGGCCGGGCGCGGTGGCTCACGCCTGTAATCCCAACACTTTGGGAGTCCGAGGCGGGCAGATCACCTGAGGTCGGGAGTTCGAGACCAGCCTGATCAACATGGAGAAAAACCATCTCTACTAAAAATACAAAATTAGCTGGATGTGGTGGCACACGCCTGTATAACCAGCTACTCGGGAGGCTGAGGCAGGAGAATCGCTTGAACCCAAGAGGCGGAGGTTGTGGTGAGCCGAGATCGCACTACTGCACTCCAGCCTGGGCAACAAGAGTAAAACTCAGTCTCCAAAAAAAAAAAAAAAAGAAAAAGAGAAACTTTCTTTCCCTCATACGTCACAAGGCATACAGTAAATTCCTTTAGGTTCACCCAAGATGGGGTAGTTCGCACTGGGTGAACTATGGGAGCATAAGAGAGCACGAATGTACACATTCTCTCTCTTCCCCCCTCTCGGCTAGATGGTGCTGCCGCTGGAAAAGAAAATCCTAGGCCGGGCGCGGTGGCTCAAGCCTGTAATCCCAGCACTTTGGGAGGCGGAGACGGGTGGATCACGAGGTCAGGAGATCGAGACCATCCTGGCTAACACGGTGAAACCCCGTCTCTACTAAATATTACAAAAAACTAGCCGGGCGAGGTGGCGGGTGCCTGTAGTCCCAGCTACTCGGGAGGCTGAGGCAGGAGAATGGCGTGAACCCGGGAGGCGGAGCTTGCAGTGAGCCGAGATCTGGCCACTGCACTCCAGCCTGGGCGTCAGAGCAAGACTCCGTCTCAAAAAAAAAGAAAATCCTCTGGGAACAGAGCTGGCAAAGCCAGATGGATGCCACTATGGTTGTCATGGCAACCCCACCAAAGGAGAATGTGACCCTGCTGAGTCTCTTCTAGTTATATTCAGAACCATATTAGAAGTGGTTTCAAGTGTCTGCCCACCTGTGCGTTAAGAGAAAGAAGGGCCTCTCCTCTAAGGTCTGACTGAGCCTGAAGTCAGCTTAGCCAGACCTGGGCAGCCGGCAGACCTCCTTGCTTAGGTTTACTGTTCTGGACAAACATCAGCAACCTTGGAGACACTAAAAGATGGGAGGGAGGCCGAGACTGCCAGGGACCTGTTAGATGTAGTGAACCTGTATCCACCCTGTTTGGAGCTCATTTGCTCCCAATCCGAGTGGAGGCAGGGACCAGGGAAGGCAGTAGTGAGACCTCCATGACCACAGATGGGAGAAAGGTGGCTCGCTCTACACACCCAGCGCCTGGCAAGAACTATGATGGCTTTGTTGTGACACTTTTTTTTTTCCTTTTTTTTAAGACAGAGTAGCACCCTGTCACCCAGACTGGAGTGCAATGGCACAATCTTGGCTCACTGCAACCTCCGCCTCCCAGGTTCAAACGATTCTCCGGCCTCAGCCTCCCAAGTAACTGGGATTACAGGCACTCGCCACCACAGCCAGCTAATTTTTTTTTATTGCTAGTAGAGACGGGTTTCACCATGTTGGCCAGGCTGGTCTTGAACTCTTGGCCTTGTGATCCACCCACCTCTGCCTCCCAAGTGCTGGGATTACAGGCGTGAGCCACCATACCTGGCCAGAGTCAAGACTGTTTTTATTCATTTATTTTTATTTTTATTTATTTTTTGAAATTGAGTCTCGCTCTGTCGCCCAGGTTGGAGTACAGTGGCGTGATCTTGGCTCACTGCAAACCATGCCCTCCAGTTTGAAGTGATTCTTTTGCCTCAGCCTCCGGAGTAGCTGGGATTACGGGTATCCGACACCATGCCTGGCTAAGTGTTGTAACTTTTGTATTTTTAGTAGAGATGGGGTTTCGCCATGTTGGACAGGCTGGTCTTGAACTCCTGACTTTGTGATCCGCCCGCCTCAGCGTCTCAAAGTGCTGGGATTACAGGCATGAGGCACCATGCCCAGCCTTTTTTTTTTTTTTTTTCCTGTAATCCTTTGAGACAGAGTCCTCGCTCTGTTGCCGCGGCTAGAATGCAGTGGAGGAATCTCAGCTTACTGCAACCTCCACCTCTGTGGTTCAAGCGATTCTTGTGCCTCAGCCTCCTGAGTTGCTGGGATTACAGGCACGCACCACCACACCTGGTTAATTTTCGTATTTTTAGTAGAGACTGGGTTTTGCCGTGTTGGCTAGGCTATTCTCAAACTCCTGACCTCAAGTGATCCACCCACCTCGGCCTCTCAAAGTGCTGGGATTACAGGCATGAGCTACCACACCAGGCCCAGACTATTCTTAAAAAATCACAGCTCACTAGCTGTGTGACCTTAGGCATATTAGTTCACCTGTCTGACCTGTCTCATCAACTATAAAGCGGGATAACGAAATCTACTCCATGGAACTGTTGTGAAGATTCAGAAATGTGTGTAAAGGATTTAGCATGTTGCCAGGCACGTGGTACACCATTACCCTGTGACCTCTTTAGGAGGCTATAACTTTCAGACTCCCTTACTACCAACCTTAAAAGCTCAGAAGAGTTCTGGAAAGCATCTCCAGGGCATCCCACTTGTTCCCTTCCTCCACAGGTGACAGCCTTTTTTTTTTCTTTTTTCTCATTAGTGCCAGCCTTTTCGATGCCACACCCTACATCCTCACCGGCACCCACATGCTTAGGATCCATGAGCTTCTTCTTTGTCGATCAGTTTCTTCCTTTCAGGCTTGGTGTTATTCCCCTATTTGAGAACTTGGGAAGAACTCCAGGACTCCAGTGATCCTCCCACCTCAGCCTCCTAAGTACCTGAGACTACAGATACACACCACTGCACTGGCTTTGGGATGCATTATATAATAATTATGATAATTAAAAGTTGAGGCCGGGCACGGTGGCTCACGCCTGTAATCCCAGCACTTTGGGAGGCCGAAGCGGGCGGATCATGAGGTCAGGAGATCAAGACCATCCTGGCTAACACGGTGAAACCCCGTCTCTACTAAAAATACAAAAAATCAGCCGGGTGTGGTGGCGGGCACCTGTAGTCCCAGCTGCTCAGGAGGCTGAGGCAGGAGAATGGCGTGAAGCCGGGAGGTGGAGCTTGCAGTGAGCCGAGATCGCGCCACTGCACTCCAGCCTGGGTGACAGAGCGAGACTCCGTCTCAAAAAAAAAAAAAGAAAAAGAAAAAAAAAGTTGAGTGCCCATCATGGACCAGGCTCTATGCCAGCCACTTTAACATATAATGTCTGATACAGCAGCCTCCAAAGAGGGTTTTCTGCCCATTTTATAATGAGGAAACAGAAGGTCATCCAGCTAAGACTCTTCTTTTTGTTTTTGTTTTTTTTTGAGATGGAGTCTCGCTCTGTCGCCCAGGCTGGAGTGCAGTGAAGGGATCTCAGCTCACTGCAACCTCCCCATCCCGGGTTCAAGCGATTTTCCTGTCTCATCCCTCATCCTCCCGAGTCCAGCTAAGACTTAAACCGGCTCTGTATCAATCCGAATACCACGCTTTCTTGTTTTCTGCTAGATCTCTGCTTCCCAAGGAAGTCAAAGAAAGTTAAAGAAAAAAAATAAATAAATAACTGAAATGAAATTTCACAGATTAGTAGATAGGAAATGGATAAGCTGGGAAAGGACATTCCAAGGTAGACAAATAGTATTGCCGAGGTATAGTGTCAGGGAAAATTGGCATGTTTGTTTAATCCTGTAGGCATTTCATACATTTTTGTACCCTAACTAGATTCTGAGCCCCTTTACATCTTCAGTTCAGTCTAGTATAGTGATACACTGTTGTTTATATACCCATCTTAGGAAGGGCTGTGTTGAGATCCTATAGCCTGTGTCATTACTAGCCTCTTGTTCATCTCTCCCTGTCTGCTGTCTCCTCTCCCTTCTTTCCCAGTTATGCTCTTGGTTACTTTTAAGGGCAGGAGAAGAGCAAACACTCTGGAACTAGATCAGTACTCAGAATGCCGCTAATGATGGTATCATTTGCTGGAAGCCAAAGACCCAACATCAGAGCCTTGACTTCAATGAGGTCACCTTTTTTTTTTTTTTTTTTTTTTTGAGACGGAGTCTCGCTCTGTCGCCCAGGCTGGAGTGCAGTGGCCGGATCTCAGCTCACTGCAAGCTCCGCCTCCCGGGTTCACGCCATTCTCCTGCCTCAGCCTCCCGAGTAGCTGGGACTACAGGCGCCCACCACCACGCCCGGCTAATTTTTGTATTTTTTAGTAGAGACGGGGTTTCACCGTGTTAGCCAGGATGGTCTCGATCTCTTGGAGGTCACCTTTAAACCTAGACAAATGGGTTAGTCAGCTCCCCTGGGTGGCTTAGGATAGCAGAGTCATCAGTATAAGAAAGAGGGGCTAGTAAGCATGCAACTCCACAGCCTCCTTAAAGAGTTATTGTTACTGCTAAAAAAAAAAAAAAAAAAGAAGATAACACTTCCATGAGAACCAAGGACTTTTTATACTTAGAACACATACTGAAAAATCAGGAGGCAGTAGCTAAGCTAAAAGCAGCACCAGATGCCTTCTGGAATGAGTTGCCTTCCTTGCCTCCACAACAGCAGCCAGACTGGACCTCTGGACAACACGGTAAGTGTGACAGTCACACTTCCTACATCAGGACCAAGGGTAGAAGGCCACCAGGCTCAGCTTACAAGCCCTGTGAAACCAGAAAAAGCGCATCAATTAGACCCAAAATTTGGGGGCAGCCACAACCATGTACTTCTCATCCCAAGGAACGTGTCCTGGATCTTTCAAGCAGACAGCATGAAAGTTTCTTCTGTCTCTCTCTCATTTGGGCATTAAATCCTGTATTACTCCCCACCCCTACACACCCCTTCTCCAGGCAATAACCCCGGCCCATATGATCAGGCACTCACCCAAGTAATCGTCCATCAGGGAGCCAATAGCAAACTGCAGGAAAGATAGTAAAAAGAAAGTGAAGCCAAGATGAGCACAGAACCAACCTCTACCCCGCAGCCCCAGGCCTTCTGCCCATCCATCCCTTCTTCCTGACAGAAGAGCATAGAACCCCCTGAAACTGGGTGGCAAGAAATCCGACAGCTCTCCGCTCAGCCTGGTATAGGTAGAGGCGGGGAAAAGACTCACAATGTCATTCTTGTCCACACGGGTCCCCACAATCTTTAAGCGGATCTCATCGTCCTGCTGAATCACAATATCCTGGGGAGAGGAGGGAACAGTGTACAGATGCTCCTCAGTTTATGAGAGGTTACATCACAACTACTTCACTGTAAGCCCGGGGGGCATATTGAATGCACATCACTTTCGCACCATCGTAAAGTCATAAAATCATGAATCAAGCCATGGTAATTCAGGGACCATCTGTGCTCGGCCATCCCCAGGCCAATATTCTCCCTCAGGATGACTGATTCTCTCTTCCTCTTCCTGACTTCTTTCTGTCCACTTACCTCATCCATTGTCTTGTAACATGGTGGGTTGGAGTTAGGATCAAACTCCATCTCTGAAGGGATGGACTGAAAGGAAAGTGAGATTAGGGTAGCACTTTAAAAGGATGCTTCAGTAGATGGTAATGAATGGGTATCTCTCTTCCTCAGCCCCACCCAGTGTGCCTAGACTTACATGTCGAGAGATGAAGCAAGACATGGGTCCAATTTCTGTGAAGAGTCCAACCTAGAAAAAAATGAGTGATCTTATGGTCATGCACGGTGGCTTATGCCTATAATCCCAGCACTTTGGGAGGCCGAGGCGGGTGGATCATGAGGTCACAAGTTCAAGACCAGCCTGACCAACATGGTGAAACCTTGTCTCTGCTAAAAATACAAAAATTAGCTGGGTGTGGTAGCGCACCTGTAATCTCAGCTACTCAAGAGACTGAGGCAGGAGAATCGTTTGAACCCGGGAGGCGGAGGTTGCAGTGAGCCAGATCTCGCCATTGTACTCCAGCCTGGCAACAGAGCAAGACTCCGTCTCAAAAAAAAAAAAAAAAAAAGAGTGATCTTGCTTTTTCTTTGTCCCCTCAAGTGTTGTGTTTTTGTTTTTTGCTTTCTAAATTTTGAGACAGGTTCTCACTGTTGCCCAGGTTGGAAAGCAGTGGTGTAATCACAGCTCACTCTACCTTTGAATTCCTGGGCTCAAGCAATCCTCCCACCTCAGCCTTCCAAGTAGCTGAGACCACAGGTGCACACCACCATGCTAGGCTAATTTTTAAAAACTTTTTGTAGAGACAGAGTCTTGCTATGTTGCCCAGGCTGGTCTCAAACTCCTAGGCTCAAGCAATCTTCCCACTTCTGCCTCCCAAAGCACTGGGATTATAGGTGTAAGCCAGCACACCCAGCCCTTTTCTCTTTTTTTTTAAGCTCTCATTTGTATTTATTTATGTATTTACTTTGAGACAGAATCTCGCTCTGTTGTCCACTCTGGAGTGCAGTGGTGCAATTTCAACTCACTGCAACCTCCACCTCCCAGGTTCAAGTGATTCTCATGCCTCAGCCTCCCGAGTAGCTGGGATTACATGCACATGCCACGATACCTGGCTAATTTTTGTGTTTTTAGTAGAGATAGGGTTTCACCATATTGGCCAGGTTGGTCTTGAACTCCCAACCTCAGGTGATCTGCCCACCTCAGCCTCCCAAAGTGCTGGGATTACAGATGTGTGCCACCATGCCCAGCCTAAGCTTTCATTTTAAAGTATTAAAGAGCTTAGGCCTGTTAGTCCAAGATTTGAACACCTGTTGGCCACATGATCTTGGCCAATACACTTAAGTTCTTCTAAGCTTCAGCTTCTGTAAAAAGCACCCACTGGCCAGGCGCAGTGGCTCACGCCTACAAGCCCAGCACTTTCGGTGGCTGAGGCAGGCAGATCACCTGAGGTCGGGGGTTTGAGACCAGCCTGACCAACTGGAGAAACCTCATCTCTACTAAAAATACAAAAATTAGCTGGGTGTGGTGGCGCATGCCTATAGTCCCAGCTACCTGGTAGGCTGAGGCAGGAGAATCGCTTGAACCCAGAGGCGGAGGTTGTAGTGAGCCAAGATTGCGCCACTGCACTCCAGTCTGGCGACAGAGCTAAACTCCATCTTAAAAAAAAAAAAAAAAGGAAAGCACCCACCTTTTAGAGTCATTGTGAGTCTCTGCACTTCACTGGCCCACAGTCACTACTCAATCAACACAGGCTTTTATTGTTATGACTATTAATGTTGACTCTTGCCCTCTGAGTTGGGCAGGGAAGATTACCATACAATTTGAAAGTGCAGCACAAGAAGTAAAGTGATGGCCAGGCGTGGTAGCTCACACCTGTAATCCTAGCGCTTTGGGAGGCTGAGGTAGGCAGATTGAGCTCAGGAGTTCGAGATCAGCCTGGGCAACATGGCAAAACCCTATCTCTACTAAAAAAATACAAAAACTTAGCCGGCCATGGTGGCACGTGCCTTTAGTCCCAACTACTTGGGAGGCCGAGGCAAGAGACTCACTTGAACCCAGAAGGCAGAGGTTTCAGTGAGCCAAGATGGCACCACTGCACTCCAGCCTGGGCGACAGAGCAAAGACTCCGTCTCAAAAAAAAAAAAAAAAAAAAAAGAGGTAAAGTGACTTAGCTGAAGACACAGTTATGAAGTGGAGCCAGGACCCAACCCAGATCTACTGAGAGACTACCCCAATGCCTCCCCTACGTAGGGTCTCACCTTGTTGACCTGAGTGACAACAGCATCCACGACCTCCCCTTTAAAGGGCCGGAAAACAATGGCCTTGTACTTAACTGGATAAAGGACAAAGCCTCGGCCTGGCTGGATCACACCAGCACCAATATTGTCAATGGTGGTGACAGCAATTACAAAGCCATACCTGCAAGGAGGATGAGAAACAGAAAGACATTGTGTGTCCAAGAGCCTCTAGAGACATCTGCAATAAAAGTCACTGAGCTCTTGGGAGTAGGGTCGGGGAGAGCAAAAGGACAAGTAGAAAGCACCTCTGCTCCCAGAGAGCTTAATGACCAAGAGAAGACAGAACACAGATCAGTATGTATAAGACCAAATGCTGTTCTGGTAATTTCACAGTAAATGTACAAGAAGGCTGGAGTCCTTGAGGAAACAGATCTCAATCTTCGGGATGCCTGAGAATCATCTTCTTAAAATGCAGATTCTCAGGTCTGCCTCACAGAGTCTTGATTCTGTAGGGAATAAGGAGGCTCAGGAATCTGCATGTTCCTGCAGGTTTTTCTGATGCTGGAGGCCCAAGTAGTCCACTGCCCTGGGCTGGGTCCTAGCTCATTAATATCAGAGAGGGCCCTCTGTGCAAAGCCCAGAGATGGTCAAGTCCCAGTCTACTTCCTTCCTCCCCCAAACTTTCGATCCACTTTTTCTGGTCATCCATTCAGAAGATATATAGAGGCCCATGGTGTGTGGACACAGGGGATAAGAGAAAACCAGCAGAATGAGAGTGAGAGGAGACACAGGAACAATGACTACACTGTGAGCTCCACAAGGGCTGGCCTCATTCTATCTTGTTCCCATTCTACCTTGTTCTGAGCCCAACACGGGTCCTGGCACACACCAAGTGTTTTTAAAATGTCTGAGGAGTAAATGAATGAATGACCAATCTCAGCTGAAGGAAGGAAGTCTTATTGTCCAGCATTGCAGAGGGCGCCCTGGGAACCCAAAGCAGGAAGCAACTGGCTGCCTGAGAGGGTGAGCGGGGTCCCTAGAGTGGGTGGCAGGACTAGTAGGAGTTGCGGAGGGTTTGCAGGTATAGCGACCCGTGTGCGCATCGACCGATCTGGCGGCGCGGTGAGCCCGGCACTCACTTCCCTGTGCAGGTCCCCTCCACCTCGGTGAAGAGCTTCTGCTTCACCGTGTTGAGCAAGTTGGGGCCGAAGTAGCGCGGGTGCAGCAGGATTTCGTGCTCTAGGGAGATCTGCGGAGAAAAGAGGGATGGCGACCAGGCCACGCGCTGGGAGCTTATCGGACGACAAGGGGAGCCTCGCGCTGGCGCCTGGCCTTGCTCCTCCTTTCCACCCAGCCCTTGCCGCCACCCTGGGCCCTGCTCACATGGTAGAACATCTTCCCAGAGCAGACAGGCAGGAACAGTCTACACCTCCGACCGCCCCTGGGAATCTACCGGAAACACACTTAGCCGCCACAACCCCAGTTCCGCGCCTGCTGCGACGATGAGAGCGGAACTCCACCTCCTCCGCGAGGGCGGAACTCCACCTGCTCCACGGGTCTGATTGGGCCTTGTAGCCGTGGGCGTGAACGACTAAGCCCCGCCCCTCACCACCGCCCCGCCCCCCCACCGGCCATCAAACCGCAACTCTCTTTTTTTTGTTTTGAGACGGATCTCGCTCTGTCGCCCAGGCTGGAGTGCAGTGGCGCGATCTCGGCTCACTGCAAGCTCCGCCTCCCGGGTTCGGGCCATTCTCCTGCCTCAGCCTCCCCAGTAGTTGGGACTACAGGCGCCCACCACCGCGCCCGGCTAATTTTTTGTATTTTTAGTAGTGACGGGGTTTCACCGTGTTAGCCAGGCTGGTCTCGATCTCCTGACCTTGTGATCCGCCCGCCTCAGCCTCCCAAAGTGCTGGAATTACAGGCGTGAGTCACAGCGCCCGGCCAATTTTGTGTTTTTAGTAGAGATGGGGTTTCTCCATGTTGGTCAGGCTGGTCTCAAACTCCCAACCTTAAGTGATCCACCCACCTCGGCCTCCCAAAGTGCTGGGATTACAGGCGTGAGCCACTGCGCCCGGCCAGCAACTCTCTGAATTGCTTGAACCTGGGAGGCCACTGCACTCCAGCCTGGGCAACAAAAGCGAAACTCCATCACAAAAAATAATAATAATAAATAATAGCTACCAGTTACTGCTTTCTTCCTAAATGCCAGACACTGTGCTAAGCCCTTTATATAATTATCTCCCTTAATTCTCATAATAATCTACAGAAATTGGTGTAGAAATAACAAAAAATTTACATGAGCCTTGGTCGAAAGGCCAGGAAGCTACAGAAAATAAAGAAATTTAGGCCGGGCGCAGTGGTTCACGCCTGTAATCCCAGCACTTTGGAAGGCGGAGGCGGGCAGATCATGGGGTCAGGAGATTGAGACCATCCTTGCTAACACGGCGAAACCTCGACTCTACTAAAAATACAAAAAATTAGCCGGGCGTGGTGGCACGTGCCTGTAGTCCCAGCTACTCAGGAGGCTGAGGCAGGAAAATCATTTGAACCCGGGAGGTGGAGGCTGCAGTGAGCTGAGATCGTGCCACTGCACTCCAGCCTGGCAACAGAGCAACACTAAGAACGAAAGAAAGAAAGAGAGAGAGAGAGAGAGAGAGAGAGAAAATTTAAAAGCTATTGCAATCCCAAAAAACATTTTAAGCCTCAAGAGAGATATGACTGTGAGTCACATATAGTTTACAACTTCTGTTCTCAGATTATAGATTAATTCACTTTCTTTTTTTTTTTTTTTTTTTGAGAGGGAGTCTCGCTGTGTCACCCAGGCTGGAGTGCAGGAAATCCATGACTATTTCATCCTCTGTTAAAAAAATGTTACATGCCCCCTGGCATGATGGCTCATGACCGTAATCCCGGCTACTTGGGAGACTGGGGCAGGAGAACTGCTTGAACCCGGGAGGCAGAAGTTGCAGTGAGCCGAGATCATGCCACTGCACTCCAGTCTGGGAAACGGAGCAAGATTCCCTCTCAAGAAAAAAAAAAAAGTTACATGTGAATCACAAGGTCAGAAGTTCAAGACCAGCCTGGCCAACATGGTGAAACCCCATCTCCACTAAAAATACAAAAAACTGGGGCCGGGCGCGGTGGCTCAAGCCTGTAATCCCAGTACTTTGGGAGGCCGAAACGGGTGGATCACAAGGTCAGGAGATCGAGACCATCCTGGCTAACACGGTGAAACCCCGTCTCTACTAAAAAATACAAAAAACTAGCCGGGCGAGGTGGCGGGCGCCTGTAGTCCCAGCTACTCGGGAGGCTGAGGCAGGAGAACCGCGTGAACCCGGGAGGCGGAGCTTGCAGTGATCTGAGATCCGGCCACTGCACTCCAGCCTGGGCCACAGAGCGAGACTCTGTCTCAAAAAAAAAAAAAAAAAAATTACAAAAAATTAGCCGGCCGTGGTGGCAGGTGCCTGTAATCCCAGCTACTTGGGAGACTGAGGCAGAAGAATCCCTTGAACCTTGGAGGAGGAGGTTGCAGTGAGCCAAGATCGTGCCACTGCACTCCAGCTCAGGCAACAGTGAGACTCCAAATCAAAAAACATTGAAAAAAAAAAGTTACATGTACTTTTCCCAAAAAGAAACATTGTCTATAACCAACCAAATTACTATAACTATGTACCAATCTTCTATGAAAAATGTAATCCTGCTAAAAAGTCCTGTGTGCTTGCCTATATGTGGGGAAAGAGATCAGACTGTTACTGTGTCTATGTAGAAAGAAGTAGACATAAGAGGCTCTATTTTGTTCTGTACTAAGAGAAATTCTTCTGCCTTGACTTGCTGTTAATCTGCAACCCTAGCCCCAAGCCATGTGTACAGCACATGTGCAGAGACATGTGCTGGGTTGACTCAAGGTTTAACGGACTTAGGGCTATGCAGGATGTGCTTTGTTAAAAAAGTGCTTGAAGGCAGTATGCTTGTTAAAAGTCATCACCGTTCTCTAATCTCAAGTACCCAGGGACACAATACACTGCGGAAGGCTCTGCCTAGGAGACCTAGGCACAGGGACCTCTGCCTAGGAAAGCCAGGTATTGTCCAAGGTTTCTCCCCATGTGATAGCCTGAGACATGGCCTCCTGGGAAGGGAAAGGCCTGATGGTCTCTCAGCCTGACACCTGGAAAGGGTCCGTGCTGAGGAGGATTAGTGAAAGAGGGAGGCCTCTTTGTAGTTAAGAGGAAGGCATCTGTCTCCTGCATGTCCATGAGAATAGAATGTCTCGGTGTAAAACCCCATTGTATGTTCTATTTACTGAGATAGGAGAAAACAGCCTTAGGGCTGGAGGTGAGACATGCTGGCGGCAATACTGCTTTTTATTGCACCGAGATGTTTGCGTGTGTGCACATCAAGGCACAGCACCTTTACTTAAACTTATTTATGACACAGAGACCTTTGTTCACATGTTTTCCTGCTGACCCTCTCCTATTACCCTATTGTTCTGCCACACCCGCCTCTTCAAGATGGTAGAGGTAATGATCCATAAATACTGAAGGGACTCAGAGACCAATGTCAGCACGGGTCCTCCGTATGCTGAGTGCCGCTGGACCCACTTTCTTACTTCACAACACAGACTCCATTCCTCTGGAGCTGGACCTTGTAAATGAGACCGAAAGAGATTAAGGGGAGGTATTTGGGTATGAATAGCGGACCTGCTCCAAAGCTTGTGTTCCTCTGCCTCCCAGGTTCAAGTGATTCTCATGCCTCAGCCTCCCAAGTAGCTGGGATTACAGGTGCCCACCACCATGGCCAGCTAATTTTTTTTTTTTTTTTTTTTTGTATTTTTAGTAGAGATGGGGTTTCACCATGTTGGCCAGGCTGGTCTCAAACTTCTGACCTTAGGTAATCCACCCACCTCAGCCTCCCAAAATGCTGGGATTACAGGCCTGAGCCACTGCGCCCAGCACCACCCCCTTTTTTTTCTTGAGAAAGGGTCTCATTCTGTCACCCAGGCTGCCAGGCTGGAGTGCTCATTGCATTCCCCAGATACAGGTGTGGGTCACCATGCGCGGGTAATTTTTTTAGTTTTTGCAGAGATATGGGTCTTACTCTGTTGACCAGGCTGATCTTGAACTTCTGGCCTCAAGTGATCCTCTTGCTTTGGTTTCCCAAAGTGTTGGGATTACAGGTGTGAGCCCTCGCACCTGGGAAATTTGCATTCTTCACTACTGTACACTCTACTGCTTGAGACTGAAACTTTGGATACAAAAGACACCAAAGCAATGAAAAGGACTGTTGTGTCTGCTCCTCAAAGTGGGTACATGTAGAGCCTGAAAGCTCAGAACAGCAATTCTGAAATTGTGGTCCTAGAAAGAACCTTTCAGGGACTGGTGAAGTACTCTTCTAGTTAAGTGTCTGTGTGAGACCAAATTTTCTTCATGTGTTTCAATCAATACAATATATCCTAATAGCTAACAGAAGCAGATGTGAAAGTCGAGCTGTCTCCTATTGAAACAGTATGATATTGTGAAATATACATTTCTTTGACCCCATTTTCTAGCATACAACTCCTAAATCTCTAAAGCGATTTTTTTGGTATGCTAATGATTAACTGATGGCTGCCAGGCTGTAGGTAGCTTCCGGGTGGGGGTTGGTCACCAAAAACAGCTGGGCATGATTGGAAGGTTGGGGCTTTCAGCCCACCCCCAACTTCTGGGGAGTGGAGCGGGTGCTGAACTGTTTAGTTGATCACCAGTGGCTAATGGTTTCAGCAGTCATGCTTACATAATGAAGCATCCACAAAAATCCAAAAGGACTGGGTTCAGAGCTTCCACGTAGCTGAACACCTGGAGGTTCCTGGAAGGTGGCACACCGGCAGAGGGCTCGGAAGCTCCACATTCCTTCCCCCATACCTCACCCTAGCCACCTCTTCATCTGCATCCTTTGAAATAGCCTCTACCGTAAGCCAGTAAACGTAAGTAAGTGTTTCCCTGATTTCTGTGAGCCACCCTAGTAAATTAACCAAGCCCAAGTAGAGTTGTGGGGGCCTAGATTTACAGTTGGTCAATCAGAGGCACAGGTAAAACAGCCTGGGGCTTTTGACTGGCATCAGAAGTCAGGGGCCATGTCTGGTAAACAGTAATTTGATTTTAAAAAAACAAACAGGGAGGGAGGGAGGGAGGGAGGGAGGCAGGGGGAAAGAGAGAGACGAGAGAGAAAGAAGAAAAAAAGGGGAAAAGAGAGAGGGAAAGAAAGAGACAAAGAAAGGACAATAAAAGGAAAGGAAGGAAAAGAAAATAAATAAAACAAAAGGAACGAAAATAAACTAGTACTAGGGGGCGGGTGGGGAGGGCGGTCTTGGGAGCTGCGCCCTAAACCTTTGAGATCTGAGGTTATCTCCAGGTAGACAGTGTTGGCATTAAACAAGAGGGACACCCAACTGGAATTGCTTGCTTGCTTGTGGACGGGGGAAAAAACCAACACATTTGGTCACACAGAAGCCTTCTTTGTTGATTGTTGTGGTGGTGTGAGAGGAGAGAAAAACAGTGTCTCCCCCTAACCG